TAAAGGTGTCTGTGCTAGCAAGGAAAAAAGCAAGTATAGAACAGCCAGTGACAGAACAATCACACAGGAATTAGGAGGGTCACCTCAGCTCTGCCTGTTGAAAGAGCCAGATCTGGAGGGTCTCCATCCACCTGTCAGGTCTCCATCCCAACTTTCACTCAGCAGACACAACCTCTCTGGTCCGTTCAAGCTGAGATCAAAGAGAAGCTAACCAGAGAAACTCTCTTGATAGATGACAGCGATGGATGGATTGGTTCATTCCTTGCTAGCAGCTCTCCTTCCTTCAAGCCAACAAAACGTAGCCTACCCCTCTTTCTATGAATCAGTTCAAATGACATATATGCAAAAAATAACAACTTGAAAATGGGTTCACCTTTGGAAAAGCAAAGTCCTTCAGGGACTCTCAGAAAAGGTTGCTTCCAGGTCAGCCTGGGGACTCCTTGGGCATGGCCCTGCCCTTTTCTTGGCAAGATTTTGGAAGTGGTTTGCCACTGACAAGGTCTGCCCAAAGTCTCTCAGCTGGCTTTGTGTAGAAAGTGGGACCAGTGCCTTCACCACTATACCAAAATGCCCTTCCACTAAAAGATTTGCATTTACATAAAGTATTTAGAGGGGCTTTTCTTCTTCTTTCACCAATATTCACTTACCCTTCCATTAAGTTTATGTGAGAAAACTACCACCACATTAAAGGGGGGTGGGGTGGAATCCACAGACCATGTATGGCACAGTCAAAAGAAATGTAAGTTGGGCAAAAGAGGTCATCTCCGACTGATAATCTGATAATGCTTGCCCCTCATGTTGAGTAAAATCTGCAAGTATACAGGAAGAGAGGATAAATCTATTTTATCAGTCTTTGAATTGAATTCTTAAAATTGATTTTTGCTGTAATTAGATAAAATTCTAATGTACCATGAGGCAAAAATGCAGTATAGCAAAAGTGTTACAATAGGGCAGAAAATGGAAACTTTTTTTTGATGCTAAAAGGTTGAAAGTTGAGAGATTTTCTATAATCACAGAAAATGGGAGAAATCTTCTTTGAAATTATACAATCAAGCCGTCCATTTGGACATGCATCTCCACTTATGCCAGCGAACAGAGCAAAACAGAAAACCAGGCAGAAGATTTCCAAAGGCTGGATAGATACAAAGGTTTTTTTTTTTTTCCAAAGCATCTTGTGAAAGTAAGCTGTATAAATAATATATTTTTCTAACCTGTTTCCGGGATGGGGAACAGAAGTCTAGAATGGAAAAAGGGCAGATCCTCCATCATTCTCTTGATGATGGTGCATTTTGATTTTTTAGGATTCAGCTTGGTTAGTGTGGATTCAAGTTAAATCTCCCATATGAAGAGTGTGCCTGTGTGTCTGCAACCCTGCGTGAAGGTTATTACCTGTAACAGCCCCGTCTCGTTTAGCAACCGCCTTGGACAGCAACCAATATGACAGTAATGAGCAGTGATAAAAACCCTTTTGGCTCCCTCTTGGTGCGAGATTTTGATGGCAGTCCGTGGAGGTTTTGGCTGCAGGAGGGTACCGTGGGGTTCGGCCTCCACGCAGCTGCTCTTTCCGACGTGGGAGGAACTGTGGCCGAGCCAAGGGGCTTCTCGCGGCCACCTCTTCCAGTGACACCCAAGGCTGGCAGGGGGGCCTCTCCAGGATGCCTCTGTTGGCCGGAGCACAGAGGCAAACTCGACTTTGGGAGGGCGGGAAGAAGGGCCAGGGAGGGCCACCTTGTTAACGGATGGCCTGCTTTTTCAAGAAGAAGGCTGGGCTAAGGGTGGGGGGCTTACAGTGCCACCCTGCCTCTCTCTGCCAAGCCAGCTGTCTCTCGGGTGGAGACCAAGGGGCCAGCCCCCTCCCTCGCCTGCCTGAAATGCTGCCTGCAGGTGCTCGGGAGGCAGGAACCAGGCTGAATGGACAAAGGCTCTTCGGTCCTTTGTCTGCACCTCAGGATTTGGGGGGGGGGGGGGGGGAAAGTCTCAGCCCTCATTAAGGCGCTGCTGTCAATAAGAGATTTATTCAAGGAACTGAAGGCAGAATTCGTAGAAATTCCTTCTATTTTCTCCCAAGAGTTCGCCAAGCCTTATAAATATCAGAAATCCATCCAGGCAGGCAACCCTTTGAGGCCGAACCGAAACCTTACCATCCCTCGCAGTTCACTTGAATCTCACAGGAAAAAATTAGGGAACTGGCCTTTAATAAGCCTGATGATGCTCCAATTAGCAGCCTCAAAGCTATATGGACACTCAGCAACAGTTAGGTGCAAGCAAACCAGGCTCAGGCTCCATGGACAATAGCCCCCCCCCAAATAATAATAATAATAATAATCATCATCATCATCATCATCATCATCATCATCATCATCATCATCATCATCATCATCATCATCATCTGACATCACCTAAGCAAAGGAATGCAAGATATCCTTGAAGCTGAGTGCTGTTCTGGGCAGGAAGCAGGAAGTGGTTGGCCACCGCTGTCATCCGAGATTTTTCGTCAATCTCCCGCTCAGCAGTTTACGGCCTTAAGGTTTCTTTGTGGGGGAGGGGCTCCTATCTCATTAAATTAGCACCAAGACAGGCCGCGCTTAGCTTCTCACGACAAACCAAACACCCGGAATCGCTACCCGCAAGCCACCGACAGGGACTAAATTCCTCCCCAGACAAACCCAAGATAGGCCAAGGAGTGAACGCGTGAGGGAGGAGAGCTGGAGGGCCCCGTCCTCAGGCATTGCTTCGTGGGGCAGGAGCGCACCCCCCCCCCCCAAGGAGGCCTGGTTTGTGCTCCCACCCTTTCTCTTTCTCCATTGACTGCGGTGCAACTTCCTTTAATACACAGCCCATCGTCTATTAAAATGCCAGCTCATCAGTCCTATCCGATCTCTCAGGCTTCCAGGTGCTACCCAGATCCAGGAAGAAGAGCCGGGTGGGATCAGGCCCCGTTCTAGCCCAGCGCTCCACCTCCCGCAATTGGCAAAGGGGCATCTTTGGGAAGCTGCTCAGCCTGACCTGGGGGTGAAAGAAAAGCCCCTTCCCTGCTGCTTCCCGGCAGCCGATATCATGAGCAGCACCAAAGAGGAGGAGCACGAAAGGAGCAGAGGGCAGCCTGGGCAGCGCTCAGGACGCTCTGCTCAAGAGCCACCTGGAGAGGCCAGGAAAGGCTCCCCTGCACCGCAGCTGGCGCATTATGAAGATGCGGAGTTGCAACTGTTGGCGATGTGACGGTAGCTAGGTGCTAGAAGAGCGATTCAAGTATGAGTAGTACCATCTGCCTTGTCAATTAGAAAGGAGAAACACCACGTTTTGACCTTTTAATTTTTTAAAACTGAATTTAAATATCAACGCACCCATAACCCAGGCACCATCTCCTGCAGGTTCCAAAATATCGTTTGGGAAATAACATTTTCATTATCCAACTCCTTCCTCCATAAAACACTTCTAAATTCAATTGCCCACATTGTAAGGTAGTTGAATAGGGGACACAGTAAATTGTTTGGAGGGTTTCAACATGCCAAAGGGCAGAGGACAAAGGGACTTGGGTGACAGTTGGGGTGCCTTTTCCTGAGCATTAGAGAAGAAATGGGAACAGGAAAACTCTTGATGACCTGCCTATCTGAAATGCAGTCATTGCAACTTGGGCAGAGATATATATATATCTATTAAATAAATGTTTTTTTTCCTGCTGAATGTTGGCAATACAATCTCAAGATACTGGGATTGTACTGCATACTGCTTGCAATTCTTTACTCCCTCATTAAAAGTATCTAAGGAAATTCTGAAGAAATCTTTAAATCTCTTGAAATGTAAGAGTGTAAAAGGTTGGCTAAGGTGCAGACAGTAAAGGCCAAATTCTAGCTATATCAATCAACTGAAAACAACATGGTTTAATAATGCCTTGGATAAGGAAGAAGAAAGGGAAACAAAAGCAAAAGTACCTTGGCATTTTTGAAGTGGACCACAAAGAAAAGCATTTTCCATAATTGCCCAATCAGGAAGAAATGTTTAAAGCTCTTTTGGCAGGATTCGAAATATTGGCAATGAGAAATTAAAGAGGCTGCGGCAACAGTAACCAAGTATAAGAAAAAGGGAGAAAAACCTTATGAGAAAAACAACTGGGTAACATGACCAAAGAGTTACAGAAAGAGGATAAGTGCCTGGGGCACTTTCAAGAAGAAATGGAAAAGATTAAGAAATGCAACTGTGAAAGAAAGCTTAGGCTATAAGCCTATTTTAGAGGGAGCCCTGCCACAGTGGGAGATCACTTCAGACCTAACTTGCTCAAAACAAAATTAAAGATATAATGAGAAAATAAGGCTGCACAGTACATACAATAAGATAATTGGATATTTACACTGAAAACAGTCTGAGAAAATTAACCAATAAATAAATGTGGAGAATGAGTGTGTTCTGCAGCTGTGGAATGGGGAAAGAAGCAGCCCTAGAAACAGAACTGTAGGACGCCTTCAAAATTTCTAAGCGAAATACTTTTTTTTGTTCTGAATACAGGACTTTAATGCCTTCATTGAACCTCATTTGTGATTCACCTAACCTGGAGAAATGTCAAATCTGTCCCATCCTGAGTCAATATGGGCCTAGGACCTTGCAACCCAGGTCCAGCAGAAGGAAGGAACATGGAATACTCATACAAGGCTACTTTGCTTAAATATTTAGAATGGGAACAGTCGTCCTTTCATAACATTCAAGGACTTTTTTTAATATTCTGCAGTAGAGAAGCAGATTCACTAATGGCTGAAAGGCCCTCCACAGATTGCAAAACCTAAATACAGTAGAATCTTTGGTCACAAGCGCTTCTGACCACCACCAAATCAGGTTCCGACCAAAAAATTCACATTTTTTTTTTTTTTTGCATCTGGTCATGAACACATACTTGGAGTGGCAAACAAACACGATCCCTGACCCAGAAATTCATGAAGACAAAACATGAGAAGACGAAGAAATTGCCAAAGTTATGGAATGAATTATGGTCACGACCAGAGGTACTACTGTATGTCAGCTGCACGCCAAGCCTGATCACAAAGGGGCACCGAGTTTTACCAGGGGCTCCACATTTAAAAGTGACCGTGGGAGGTGAGATTGGAACATTTAATGATGGATCAGTCCATGAAACGAGAGCGCGGAGAGGACAAAACTATTTGGGACAAATAGTTTTGAGACAAGCCCTTCCAATGGGACGAGGGAACTGATCTAAGCTGCACGGATGCTGCTCCGGCTGAACGGCTTACCTCTAACGCCAAGGCAGTCTTGTCATAAGCACAGGGAACCCTCTTCTGAATGGCTTTGGCATAGACTGGTCCATTCTGGGTTGAAGGCAAGGGGTTGATGACCGCTCCGGGAGTGTGGGTGGCACCGGGAAGAGGGCTGGAGGTCTGAGGCTGAGCGTAGGCATGGGCGGGCTCGGGGATCCCATAGCTATTGGAATTCCTGCCACCATGCTTCCCATGAGGAGACGATCTCACAAGCTTCTCAACGTAAGGGACAGGGATCATCCCAATGCGCCCGTCTTTGTTTCTGGCACTCCACCACTGGTCTTCGGGCTTTTCTACGATGACGAGTATCTCCCCCTTTTTAAATGGTAGATCCTCCGCATCGTTACCAGGAAAGTCATAAAGAGTCCGAACATATTCCACATTCTCCTCTGCAGCCGATGCACCAGAGCCGGTACCAGAACCCATCAGCGGGTACCTGAAGACGACACGGGAATTACTCAATCGCTTATGAAACAATGACATCCTCACAACATTGTTTTCCGTTGTTTGGTCACCTCATTGCTCAACTATTCTAAAGGGCTTACATGGGGCTGCCCTTAAAGACACACACAGAAGCTTCAATTAGTCCAGCATGTGGTGATGAGAGCAATAATAAGACATGCCTTCGTACGCACATGCGACACCATTACGCTGGTTTCCTTCCAAGTGCAATTCAAGGTGCTGGTTGTCGCCAGTAAAGCCCTACAACAGGGGTCCCCAACCACCGGTCCGCGGACCGGTACCGGTCCGCGGAACAACTCCTACTGGGCCGCTGGCTTGCTGGGCGCCGCCATCTTTTTTTCATGAAAAAGTGCTTCCGGTGAGCTTTTCCGGGTAGAAAGCTCACCGGAAGCACTTTTTCATCAAAAAAAAGATGGCGGCGCCCAGCTGATGCCGGTACCGGGCCGCGGCGTCAAAAAGGTTGGGGATCACTGCCCTACAAGACTCAATGCTGGTTTCTATTCAGCTAATGTGAGCCAACCTAAGGTTGATGCCATTAAACAACAGTACCGTTTTGGGGGGGCTCAGGGCATGCCCACCCCCTGGAATGAAATTCCACCTCACCCTGATGGCATTCTGGAGGCCTGGCTCTTCTCCCTGGCTGCCAGGGGTGCAACCAGACAACTGGAACGGGAGGGACGGCACTGGAATGCAAGGGAGGTTTGGGGGAAACGGAGCCAAGGTCGCCAGCTGGGGATGTCCGAGGCAGACAGGCCCTTCCCAAAACAAAGGGAGTCCCAGCCATTGGTGGACACGCGACTGAGGGGACGTCCAGGGGGGGGAGTTTTCCTAATGGTCAGAATTGGCTTTTCTACTTCTGCACCCAGAGTTTTGTGGTTAAAAAAGGGTTTCTTTTCTTTCCTGGCCCCTGGGGAGGGGGGGGGGGGGGGGGGCCCTTGGGGGCGGGCCCGCGGGGGCGTGGGGGGACGGGGCCCTCCGGGGGGGCTCCATTGGGGGGGGGGGGGGGGCTTGCACGCCCATTTGCACCAAAAGCTGCTCGCCTGGCGAGGGGCCCTTTCTGAACGAGCCGAAGCGAGGCAGGCGCCGCCTGGCTGCCCCTCCCCGTCCTCTCCCCCCCACCCCCCCCAGGGCGGAGGGCCGGGCTGACCTGGGCGCGGGCTCCAGCAGGGTGGTGGTGTCCAGGTAGTGGACCTTGTAGAAGTCCAGCAGGGCCGGCAGGTGGTCGAACTCCTGGTCGCCGATCTTGAAGCGCCGCCCGGGCAGGGAGTTGATGATGTAGTGGGAGACGCGCGCGTTCTCCGACACCGACAGCACGTAGTCGCCGGGGCAGGTGGACGAGTCGCGCACCAGGAAGGTCCCGTGCCGCTGGCCCTGCAGCCGGCCCTGCGCCTCCGCGCGCGACAGGGGGCCCGCGTACCACGCCGACCGGTCCGACGCGTCGAAGCGGCGCCCCGAGGGCCCCGACGAGGACGAGGAGGGCGGCGGCGGCGGTGGCGGCGATGACATCATGGCGGGCGGGGCTCTCGCGCCGCTGCTCCGGCCTTGCCGCCGCGCCCGCCGGAGCCCGCGCCAAAATGGCGCCGCGGAGGAACGGGAGGGGGGGAGGAGCAAGAGGCGGCGCGCGCGACACGCTCTCCGCGCAGGCGCGCTCAGCCTCCGCCTCGAGGGCGGGCGGGGCTTCCGCCCGGAGACGAGGGGAGGCGGGGCTTTCCCGCGAGGCTCCGCCCTGTGCCCGGAGGGGGGCGGGGCTTTCCCCGTCCGGTCGTCGGCCCGTTTACCCCGCGCCGCCCCCCCCCCCCCGGCAGGCTCTCCGGGCCCGGTTTCCGCTCGACCCCGCCGGGGTTCCGACCTCGCCGCCGGCCAGTCCCGCGAGCGGCTGCCCGGGCGGGGTGGAGCCTGCCAGGCCGAGGCGGCTCAGGCTAGGAAAGGGAAGGCGAGTGCGGCGCTCGGGGCCTCCTGCGGGGCCGCCGTTCGTTTTCCCTTCGTTGTCCGGCGCCGGAGGGAAACTCCAGCCCCAGCCGAGGGAGTTGACGAAAGAGGCGTCGGCGCTGCCCTCGGCCTCGTCAGCCGGCAACGGCGAAGAGAGCGGCCGCTTTAAGCCTGGCGGAGAGAAGGGAGCCAAGCTGCCCGGGGGATTCTGGGAGTTGAAGTCCGCCAGGCTCAAAGCGGCCCCAGACTGGAGGCCCCGCATGAAGAGGAGGAACAGCCGCAACCGAGGCTGAAGGTTCCCCCCACAAAGCAAGAGAGCCGAAGCGGATTCCGAGGGGGGAAACGATGGAAACCACCACGCGGCTTTCCCTGCGGGGCCAAGGAAACGTCCGAGACCTTAAGCGGTCTTTCTCTTCCAAGAATCCGCTTTCCAGGGTCCTTTCTGTCTTCTCCTGCCCGAGCTTCCTCCCCTAGTTTAAGCCGACCGTTTAGCCCAGAGGAAAGGCTGCCTCGGTGGCCTGGAAACCTGTGATTTCGCCCCTATGTATATCGTGGCATTTTTAAACTAACTTACTAATATGTTTTCGATAGGTTTTAGACTAGGTTTTTAATTATTATTTTAATTTTCAAATACTCTGTAGTGTGATTGTGATGTGGTGCTTGGGACACTGTGCTGGAGTAGCTTTCAAATTTCATTGTTTTAAAAAACAAAATAAAATAAATAGGAGGAGCAAAAACAGAGGCTGGTGTTTTTTCTTTCCATCTGTATGAAAATGCAGAGATGATCAGGCGTGGTAATGAAGACATGGAGCCACGGTTGTGTGCAACAAAGCCAAAAAATATTATGCCAAACAACCTTTAATGCAGATTCTGTGACGAATTAAGCAACACGGTAAGCTTTTAGTAGCTGGTTAATTCGATGCATCTGTTTTACTGTTAAACTTGTGAGGTTTGTTCCAGTCAGCAAATAATTTGAAGATCAAGGACTTACACTGTCTTTTTTTTCCTGGAAGTTTTCCACTGGCCAAGCAATGAGCTGTACATCTATGGAGATATTCTCAGTCATTCAGGTCATGGTGTCTCAAAAGTGCTTTTGCAAAAGGCAATTGGACTGATGTTTTCCTTAAGGAAGAGGATGCTTCGCTTCTCATCGAAGAACCTTCCTCCGTTTAATGAACTGTGCCCTAAAAGGCTTCTTGCGAAGGGCTTTCGCTTTCTAAATGGCACCAGGCTTCCTCTGATGGCAGTCCAAATAAGAAAAGCCAACCCCAAAAATAATGTCTAATCATCATTCATACTCTCAAATTCCTCCCAGTCTAATATTCTCAGGACCTCGGCAGACACACCCGAGTAATCCTGGACTCTCTTGCGTTGTCCGTCAGACACACCCGTTTCGCCTTCTGTAAGAACCGCCCTTGGTAAAGTAAGGATGCAGGCCGCCATCCCGGAAATGTCATCTTCCAACTGGGGACCCTCTTCCCAGCAGTCTCTCTCGGCGTCGTAGACGTGAACGTAGTCCATGCAGATCCCACGGTTATGAGACCTCCCTCCCAAGACGTAAATCCTGTGGCCCAGGACAGCAATGCCAGGCTCACCGTGGCCGGCATGAAGAGGACGGACAGTTGTCCACTGAGAAGTGCTTGGGGTATAGCAAGCAACCTACAGAAAACAACATTAAAAAGAGTGGTCGTTTTAGGAAGAGCATTTGGGAACAACTGTTCTGACCCAAGCCTTGTTCAAACTAAACAAACGCAAACTCTATCAAAGCAAACCTTTTAATGTGGTGCTGGTAATTTTGTGCATTCCCAGCCAAGAGTCATTTAAATTTAATTGTCTGAGATGAAAGCAAGCCCTTTCAAGGTTGTGAAAGGCTGCCAAGAACAGAAGTCTAATTGCTGATAAACAAACCGAAGTTCGCAGGGCTTCAACGGACTCAGAGTCTAAAGAAATTCTTTGCTTCCTGCAAAGAACACATCCCCGAGGGCTGGTTTTTATCCCTTATGGGAGGGGCAATCACCTTCCAGGCTTACTCCCGAGTTGCCCTTGCTGCTTCAGCTGCTCTTTCCTTCGTGCACTGGGCACAGGCTCCCTGCAGTGCAGGAGAAGGTCAGTAGGAACGCCTCTGCGCACACACGAAGCACACCCACCAAGCCACGGCTACCAAACTAGCGGTAAACCAATTTGAATCCCACCTCTGCTCACGGGGCTAGGATTTGGTGTCATGGGCCTACAATGTCTCTATTCCTATTTCAGTTGCAAATTTCCCCAAGGAAGGAAAATCTATGGAGCTCACCCCCACCACCCAAAATTTAGTTGGAGGTGCTGTCCGGGTCCAGAGATTTTGCCCCAGTCTGGATGGGACAAAACAGGTTTGAAGCTGAACCTAGCAAAGGAGGGTTCTCCGCCAGCTCCGTTTTGGTGTTTTTTATACCTGAAGCCAGAATGTGTGTTCTTCAGGCATGGCATCTTTAGCTGGGAGGGAGGTTCCCTGTGGAAGCGAGGCTGATCTTCCAGAATTTCTTGAAGGGCGTTTGGGGAATGACTGGGGGACATGGGGATTGGATGATAAATTTATTGGCATATTGGGTTCATAGTTTCAAGTAATATATGCGAGTGTTTTGTATTCTGGGGGCGCTTGGTGTTTCTATTTGGCCGTTAAGCTACGCAAGTCTTCTAAATACCTTGTTTCCCTGAAAATAAGACCCCGTCTTATATATATTTTTTGCTACCAAAAAAGGCACCAGGTCTTATTTTCGAGGAATTTCATCCACTGACAAACCACGCTTGCATGCATCGCCCCTCGCCTCCTTTTTGCTGTCGGAGGCGCTGCCAGCCCATTTCTTCTGTGGCCAGCAAGCTTTTCTGAAGGCCTCTGCAGCCGATAACAGGGCTCCAGATCTATCTGCGGCTCTTTTATCAGCCACAGAGGCCTTTAGGAAAGCCTTGCTGGCTGCAGAAGAAACAGGCTGGCAAGGCAGGTGTCAGGGTGTGCGAGGACTGGCTACAAGTGTGCGAGGGTAGCTCCAACCCCCCCGTCCCCACCCTAGCTTAGTTTTTACCCGTGCACTCTGTAGTGGGCGGGATCTTAATTAGGGCTTATTGGGGGGGGGGGTAGTTATGGCTTATATTGGGTGCACATGGAAAAATCAAGGTAGGGCTTACTTTCAGGGTAGGTCGTATTTTTCAGGGAAACAGGGTATCAGCAGCATGCAATCAAAGCGCCGTTAGCCAAGCCAAAGGCTGCCTCACCTCGTGAACATCTCTTCTGTAGCCGGAGTCGTTGTTACTGCCTCCAATCACGTACAGCCTTCCCAGCAGCGCAGCCATCCCGTGCCAGGCTCTCCTGACGGGACTGTCGCTTAAGGCGTCCCAGCGATCGGTGGCCGGGTCGTAGCACTGCAACTCTTTGAGGTACTCTTCTCCTCGCCTCCCGCAAGTGATGTAGATCTTGCCTTCCAGTTCTGCTCCTGCATGGGCATAGACCTGTATCAATGGGACAGAAAGTGACAAGTAGTAGAGAGGGAGACTAGCACCCTTGGTCTTCTCTTCCCCCACCATGCCCCTCGCCAAGTTTCTTAATTTTCACGATTTTCGGCAGCAATGCCCTCAATGGACCTTTAGGTACTCTGGGAAAACACAGGAGGGCAGCCGCGTTAGCCCTGATAGTAAAAAAATAAATAAATCTGGAGTCCCGTAGCTCCTTTTCTGACTGGCGTGTTTTATTAAAAGGCATACGCTCAGAAGTTCTCAATCAATACACTGGGGTTTTAACACGTCACAATTGTCAATGGATAACATCTGTAAACTATCTCAAATGCAACCTGCATCTCCATAGCCAACCCCCTTCTGCACCCCAAGTTACATCCTACAGTAGTCTAGCCACTCTACGCATTGAAGTAAGATGCAGATCGCTTCTGCCAGGATTCCCTGCAGCTACAGGGACCACCTTCTCAACAACCTTCACAGAGGGCAACGCCACAGCCTCAGGTCCCATAGTCCAGGGCATCTGTCAGTCTTCAAGATCTTTCCTACTGCTTTGCATCTTTCGGCTGCCATAAGTAACGGGGGAGGGGTTGTGTCTGGGAAGAGAGCTGGAGGTGTTACATTCTTGTGTTGTATAAATGAGGAGTGTGGGGGGGGGAGTATAAATCCCTGCTCTTAAGTTTCTATTCCTTGCTTAGCCTTTCTCTTCTCTGCGCAACTGCAAATCTTTATCAAAATATGTCAAGGTCAACGGACAGAGGCCTCATCACCACCTGAAGATGCCCACATGACCATATCCAGAACTTTTAATTGGAAGAATCTTTTGAACTTTGGGGGGTGGGAACAATTCCATCCCTTTGTATATGTGATCTGCGCGCCTAATTTCTTAGATTCAGAATTTTACCTGAAGCTACCACTTCAATCTTCAGTAAAAGATTTCTTTCCTCTAATCTATGGAGTCTCAAGTATTTCTTTCTTGGATTTTGAATGGAGCACAGACTGACAGCATCTTTACAACCCAGAAGAGATCAAGATCTAACAAGCATGTGACCATCTTGGTGGTTCATAAACTCTATTTCTTCAAGAATCACCAGCTCATCCCAGATCGTGCCACAGGACAAAGCCCCAGGAATCAGGCTTGCCCAGCTAAAGCCCAACTCCAAAATACTTGGAATATTCCTCAAAGCGGAGGGGTGATATGTTATTTATTTATTTATTTATTTATTTTTGTCAATTGCTTACAAGATAATAGGTATAAGTAAAAACATGGTTATGAACACATGGATACATGTAAGAAAAATAAAAAAAATAAAAGAAACAATAGGACAGGGACGCTGGTGCACTTATGCATGTCCCCTACAGACCTCTTAGGAAAGGGGGGAGGTCAATAGTAGACAGTCTAGGCCCCAAGACCCCAACCATTCACCCGTTCCAGGCGGTGCCTAAGGCCTCAGTCAAGCCACCCACCAAGCTTCCTCTGGAAATCCATGGGGTCCATTATTCGTGTGGAGTGGGTTGATCAAATAGCCTTAACTCCCTGCAGGGGAGAGAGGGATACCAGTGAATTCAAAAGCAATCGAAGACAGATCTCTCATGGCATGACTGGGGTTTATATCTCCCATAACCTAACTCAGACATACACCAGATCTACTGTGTCGCTTTTGACAGGTGCTGGGCTACTGATGACTTGTGATACATCCGTGGTTGCCATGGAGACCACGAACATCGGAGCTATCCTGAAATCAACAAGGCTGGGGGGAATCAAAACACGAACGAGGGCAACTTTATCACAAATATTTGCTTTGTGAGTACTTTTGATTTTGATGTTGTAGGTCAGGGGTATCCAAACGGGCAGCCCCTGGGCTGGATGTGTCATTTGCAGGCCACACCCACCCCAGCTCTGCGAAGGGGAAAAACACTGCGATACATCACTGATGGCAATGTGACAACCGCAACTCACGTTGCCATCCCCCGCGTTGTAGATGGCTGGGAGTCTTTCTTAAGCGTAGCAGCACACACACACACACCACGCAAACCCATGCATGAATGAAGATGAATGGTGCTAAGTAATCAGTAACTGTGGATGGGGGTAGTGCATCCATCCTTGCTCTCCTTGACCTCTCGTCAGCTTTCAAGACTATTGAGCATAGTATCCCCTATGGGCTGGGCAGTGCAGCCTTGCATTGGTTTGGCTCCTTTCTCCAAGACGGGCTCCAGTCGGGGTCGTTAGGGAATGAGAGGTTCAGCCTACAGCTGCTTGCAGGCCCTGGCACTCTCGCTGGTCCTTTTTAACATTTGCATGAAGCCTCGGAGCGAGATTGTTCTCCGCCATGGGAGGAGGTTCCTTTAGAGCCCCGATGAAACTCAATATTGACAATACTATCCTGGATGACCCAAATGATTGCTGCCCTCTTGCAGTGCCTGGAGGCCGTGAGGGTCTGGATGGGGGAGGGGGCACAACAGATTTCAGCTGAACCCTGGTAAGCGAGTGTGGCTTTGGGCATGTGGTGCTTCCAGGACTTTAATATCTTTAGTTCTGGATGGGGGTTGTACTACCCCGGGCAGACGCCGTGTGCAATCTGGGGGTTCTCCGGGACTCCATGAGCAGGTGGCAGTCGTGGCAAGGGGAGCCTTTGCACAACTTCACATTGTGTGCTAGTTGTGCCCTTTCCTGGATACGGAGTCCCTGTGCTCAGTCATCCAAGCCTGGTTCTCTCACACTTAGACTACTGCAATGTGCTCTACATGGGGCTACTCTCGAAGAGTAATCTGAAAGTTTCAGCTGGTGCAGAATGCAGCTGCCCAGGCTGGTTCAGGCCTTGGTGCCTCGAGGGTGGCCCATATTATACCTCTGTTCTGCGGGTGCCAGTTTGCTTCCAGGTCTAATTCCAAGTGCTGGTTATTGCTCTTAAAAGAGTTTCATAGCAAGGGTCCAGGCAATTGGAGGAACCAGCTCAGCCTGATGGGAATAGCCTGCCCCACCTGTGCCAGCAGAAGGGCCAGGCTGCAGATTCCATCCGCCAAGGATTTTCACTGGTGGGAGTATAGAAAGAAGAGGCTGATTCTGGAACCTCAGGCCCCCTGAGGTGAGATCCTCATTCACCTTTTTGGTCTTCCAAAAGGCCCCGGAGACATGGCTGTGCCAGTGGAGTGTATGGCACTTTTGGAGTAGAGAACAATCCAACTCTCCATGTGCGCTTTGCTCCCTCCCTCCCTCCCCCTCCTGGTTAGTTTTCTTTTAACTGAATTTTTAAATTTTCGATAGCAATAGCACTTAGACTTATAAATACCACTTCGCAGTGCTTCACAGCCCTCTCTAAGCAGTTTACAGAGTCAGCGTATTGCCCCCAACAATCTGGCTCCTCCTTTTACCAATCTTGGCAGGATGGAAGGCTGAGTCAACCTTGATCTGGTCAGGATTGAATTCCTGGCAGCGGGCAGAATGGATGGATGGATGGATGGATAGAAGGAAGGAGAGGGAAAAGGAAGAGCAATAGCGCCAGTACTTGGACTTATATACCGCTTCACACTCCTTTAGAGCCCTCTCTAAACGGTTTACAGAATCAGCCTATTGCTTGTGTACTGTACAACTTGTATACTGTAAAATCAGGCATGGAAACGACAACTATCTTTTCCCGAAGCACAATGGGTTGTGATGTAAAGAGTCCCCTTCTGGATGGAAGCATGAGGTTCTAAGCAGCAGAACAGCTGCTGACTTTGGAATGAAAATCCCAGGATGGCACAAAACGGTCCAAGCATGGTCCTTCCATAGAATTTCTGCTCTCGCTTCCTGCAGCTTTTTTTCTTTCAAAAGGGGGAGGAAAGGCTAAAAGCCTCAGCTGCCCTTGGGTTAATAGGAGAGGCCTCACTGAAAAGTGGAAGTAGCAGCAGCCCTGGGAAGGCTCAGCACAGAAGGCTGGAGCTGTTAAACGGAAGGAAAACGGAAACTGAACGCAGAGTTTTAGAGGCAAGTTTTTGATAAAAGTCAGAGCGGGAAAAGGCAGTGAGGAGAGGAGGCCAAGATGAATTTTTATAGGAGGAGATATTAAAAACGCAACTTCCGTCCAGTGGAAACAACTGAACAAAAAAAGTCTGATGAAATCCTGTGAAAAACTTAGAAAAAAAGGACTCGTATAACAAATCTATTAGGCAAGTGGTTCTTAAACTGTCACTATGGATTAGGTGACACTGACCTGGAAAAATGGAAGGACAAAACTCACTTTAAACCTGGAGCACAGACCTGTATAAAGGCTTTGACTTCACTGTGCATATATGGCTTCTTTTCCTGTTTACATTAGAGGCTAATCTAGCCAAATCAGGTCTGAGAACAAATAGTTGATTCTTGAATAAATGAGCCTTTCTTAAATTGAACAAGAGAGAGGGATGCCAGAATGCCATCCACACGTGTTTTCCACACAGCTTGATGCAAACGTATGCTGAGTGCAAAGCAGTGGAGAGAACTTATGTAACGGTTGAGAATTGTTTGTGTCCTTATAATCACACCTGGGAGGCACAAAGTTTCTATGCAAACTTGGGACCCTCACAATGGACAAGGCAGGAGAGCTACCAAGCTGGAAGGAGCAAACAAGATGGGCCGTGGCCATGATCTCACCAAAAGCATCTTAGGAGTTTACCAGTGTTTTGAAAGTTGCAGAAGTTTAAGAGAAGCTGCCTTTGGTAAATGACAATGGCTATCTTCAAAGTAAAACCCAGATTTCGGTAATTATATAAAAATAAGCAACTCATTCATTTGATGGGGAAAAAATCATTTTATCGGCAGGAAAAAGAGTTGATTAAAAGGTCTCCAATTAAAAAAGTTGTGTTTATAAAGTTGCGAAGTTTAAGAATCCTTCTGTTAAGAAACCCCTCTCAGAGCGCTGAGATTTACAAACAAGTTTGGTAGGAAGTCTAAGCAGTCCTATCACTATAAAAGGACAGCTTCTATATGGAGACCAAGAATTCAACAACGGCTACTGAGCCCCTTGCAAACTCAGTAACTGTTGACGGATGCTTACTGCCTTGTTTCATTCTCAGAACCAAGTGACAACTGAAATGGACCTGCTAGCCCATTCCAATGGCTACACCCTGCCTGTACTGAACTATCAACTTCTTGCTTGACATATAGACTGAGATACTGTCTGACTCCCTCATTTGATGTGACCTATGTATCTCCTGGAGATGTGATGATGGGAGTTAACTAATTCAAATCTTTGAAAGGATGTATAGGACAAGCTCATTGCCAGGGTTAAGTGAGGCCTGCCTGTACTGTGCTGCCTTCAGTTTACCTGGTAGGCAAGACCCTGATTTTTCCTAACTAATTAAGTTTATCTTTTTAAAATTGCCAGGGAGATTTAACTCCGTTTTTGGCCTATGGTAACCGTTTCATATTCAGCGTTTCATTGCACCTTGACTCTAAGCCCCCTGGGAGCTGGCAAAGGGCAGAGAATAAAAACCCTCCATGAAGACCCCAGAAGCAATTTTGCATTTGGCCAGGCAAATTACCCTGGGACTGAGCGTCACGCTTAACCCCTGAGAGGCAAGCAGCCCCGGATTGCTTTTGCATTCAGAACTGGTCCTCCGCTAACAGGGCGAGGCCTGAGGTTCCACTAAGTTCCACCAGGTGGGCAGGGCTGGGGCGTCCAAAGCTTTTTCCTCCTCACCCCCCACCCCGGATACCCCTAGCGAGGGCCTTGTCCAGATCAGGGACGCAGCCACGTTCAGTGGGGCCATTCCATCCAAGGAGAGATTTTTGGGCAAGACTCCTACCCAACTGCCAGATGGGTCAGCCTGCCAGCCCAACTAGGCACGGCACTCATCGTCTCCGGGGAAGGGGGGGCGGCCTTCAGGCCAAAGAGCTGCCCGCCCCTCCCTCCTTACCTCCTTCTGGAGAGAAGCCACGTATTCCCAGCTGTTGGTTTGGGGGTTGTATTTTTCCACCTCTCGAAGGTCCTGCCGGTAGTTGCGCCCAGCCACCGCATAGATCGCCCCGCCTACTGCGCAGACAGAGAGATCCGCGTGCTCCTGCTGCAAGGGCTGGATCTGGAGCCACTTATTGTATCTTGGGTCGTACCTTGCAAAGAAACAGGACGGACAGATTCCCCAAGAGGTTAGAGGGATGGGGTCTCAAGCACATCTCTAATCTCCGCCCACCCACCCATTTCCCATTATAGGGACTAATGGGGGCCACCAGCATTTCTTGGACTCGGCCTGTGCAAATCACAACTGTCTCCCTCTGAGCAACTGAGCAGTGGCCCCTTGTCTTGTATGTTCTCTTCTGCTGCCACCCCAGTCTGGTTAGTCACCATCCCTGGCTGCTTCCAAACCATTTCTGTTCCACAACAGCCGTCCTATTTCTTGTTCTGTTCAAACAGCGCACTACTAGAACAGTTGGGCTTGCAATCTTTTCATTACCAAAATGGTTCTGCTCATCTTTCCCACCCGAGGTGTTGAAGAACCTAGCTAGAACCTAACTGAGCCATTAGGCCTTAAGGCAGCTCTGGGATAGTTGGGAGGGCCCTGGGCCTATTTCCCCAGGAGCTGAAGACATCGCAGGCACTGGGAATAGGGGCAATTTATACATTTCTGAAAGGGATTCTCTTACCTCCAACATCTGGATTCTGCTCGAAAACCTCGAACGTTGTTATCTCCGCCAATCAGATATACAAAATTGTTGAGGACAGCTACTCCCTGATTGGACATTCTTGGAGACAAGGCTGTTGTGAAATGCCTCCATTCGCCCAAAAGTGGGTTCAAGTACTGGGCTTGGTTGCTGAGGGCAGTAGATGAGGTGGAATGCATCCCCCCAAAGCCTACCACACAGTGGAACTCGGACCTCAACTGTGTATGCATATTCTGAAGCACCGGCTGGAAGCACTCGTTCTTATGGTACATTAGGGCATTAGCCACTGTCTCCTTTAACGGACAGGAACTTAACTTGTTGTGAAGTCTCTGCAGAATTTGGAACTCCATCAGAGGAAAACGGACCGTCTCCAGCAGCTTAGGAGGCTCCATCAGTGAAACCTGATCTGTCTCCAGTTCTTCTGGCGTGTAATGGTAAAGGAGGGCCCCTTCGTAGACCTCATTCTCAGAGTTCACCTCCAAGAGGTTACTGTTGAGGAGGGCGTAGACCTTCTCCAGGGGAAGTTGGCGGTAGGTCTCTGTCTTTGAGAGGGTAACAAAGTTTTTCAGAAAGTAGGCATCCAGCTTCTCTGTCAGGTAACACAAATCAAAGAGATCAGCCAGTCTATACATGTCCACAATGTTCTCATCATCCACCCAAAGCATGAGGAAGTCACAGCAGAACTGGATGATCTCAGAGATCTACAAAGGAGGAGAAAGGCACAAAGGGACAGGAAAGTGATATGAGAAGGAGCAATTCTGGGCCTTCAAAATAACGCACCTCATCTTTGTAATTGCACATTTCTGATAAATTCATAGATTGGATCAAAATAAACTTAATCTGTAAGTCTCACTATTGCAAAAAATCATCTGTTTGATGGATTGAGATCAGCCTACCGACAAAACTTCATTAGCCATGGAACATTCACGCAAGAAAAGGACAGTTAATCCTTTTTCCCAAGTAGCGGCCATTTCAATCATCAGGGCCATGCAACAGGGAACAGCAAGAACAGAATAGGAGAGGAACCGAGCAGCTTTCCATGGGGCCAATTCTCTGACATCTATATTAACACGATTATTGCAAGTTTATTACCAAAAGCTTGGATAATAAACATGCCAAATACCCAACACTAAATTTATGTGAGAAAACAAATGCAAATGTAACCCAGATTCTGAATACTTCTAGGAAGTCAACCAGACTGAAATATGGTGAAGAAATTACCTTGTTGGATGGCATCTCTTGCTTTTTGAAATGAATGATTTTGTGTTACAGGTGCCAAGCAACTCTGGGCCGGTAACGAGGATTAAAATAATCCCATGTAAAGAAAATGTTAATACAATGCAACAAAGGAGACGAAGCAAGCATACAAGCCATAATTGTACAGCAGGCTCATCTCACTTCCTGGCTCCGCTCTTGGGCAAAGGACCAGCTTCCTCGGTGGCTTTTTGGCAAGGGGGTCGCCATAGGCTGTTTCCTGAGGCTGAGGGATACGAGCAGCCCTAAGTCCCCAAGCTGGCTTTGTGCCTGAGGCAGGGTTAGAAACCTGGTTCCTATAAAGTGGTGTTATTTTATTGACAGGATCAGAAGCATGCCCATCCTGTCAGAACATACAGGATGGGAGAAGAGAAACCACCAATGATGGTTGTCTCCTTGCCACGAAGGGCTGAAGGCCAGCACCTTGGCTTGCCCTTAGCATCCAGGGTAGCTCATACGCTAGCTACTCTGTGTACCCAAGTGCACCCGTGACCATGTGTGCCACCACATTGTGGGCTTCTGAATGCCACTTTCTAGCCAGATTCACTGTACGCTGAATTACAATAGTCTGAATGTGGGTAGCCTTTTATCTCCACAGCAGGCACAACTGGTGCACATATACCAATGTTCCCCACTCCCAGGACCCTGAGTTGGTCCACGTAAAAGAAATCTGTAGAAGGGATTCATTATTTCTTTCATGACATACCTAGGTAGGATCAATGCCATGCCCGGGTACTGGCTAGGGGATCCAGATAATCTGGTTCCTCGAAGACCCTCTGCGATTACCTAGCACTGTTGGTCCAGTGATGCCTCTTTGAGGGAGAGATGGACCACTGCTTCTTTAACATCCCCCACCCAAGAATGAAATTGTCACTGCTTGGGTCCTAGCGTTCCAGGAGGCCTCTGACCAACCTTGGGGGAAATGGCTCTAATTCACCAACAGCCACCCCGTTCTGAGGACCCCGTTCACCTCGAGCTTCACGGCATTCACACTCTTCTCAGATAACTAAACCAGTTTGTGTCTGAGTCACCTCCAGAGAACATGCATAATTGGGGCTACACTTAGATAGGGCCCAAGTGATTATTCATCAAGGACGCTGTCTAATCCTCCCAGCAGCTCCGCAGATGTTCCTCGTGCCCCTTTCTTCCTAGTTCAGATCAGGTCACCTTAACTACAGCTGTTGGTTAGCACTCAGCAGATGAAATAAGAGTGGAACAATAATTATATTCTGTTACCTTTATTACTACAACGCGGTCCTTAATGTAGGCTCTTATACATGTTAGGCCAGATTCCCTCATCTCTCTCCAGTGGTGCTCCAGGTGTCTCTTCTGTTGTTTCATTTCCTAAAGCTCTTTTGAAAAACCAACGAACTCTATGAGATCCCTAAACAGGGAGAGGCCCAGAGGCGTCACCTTCTCATTCTAGGTAGCGACTAAGGCCTCCGTTGGAATTCTGCAGCAGAGCCGCGGGGAGCTCACTCTGAATCCCAGTGGAGTCTTTCAGGGGCCTGGGGAAGGCCGACTGAATAGGATCGCCTCCCTAATGGGCCAAGCCACCCCAAAGGGATCCAGAGCAGTCAGGGAACGGTCAGACCATGACAAGGGGTCAACATTAACTTTATTTATTTCATCTATTTCTATCGCTGCTCAGTTCAACAAGGACGCTCATTCTCTATATTCAGACATCACCTCAAGATCAATCCCAGATCAAAAATGGCCCCCCAGTGCACATCAGGCCCCCGATGGCATGAATCGCATCCGGGGTGGCCATGAATGCCTGAGCTGCCGAGGGACGCAAAATCTCTCAGCGCCCAAAGACTTGGAAATTCTGCCACCAATGGAGGAAGGGAAGCCATTTTGTTGTGGAGAGGCTGCTGGCCACCATCTCATCGGGGCCCCGGAGCCCAAGCTCACCAACAGGATCTCAGACCCAGTAAGTTGTGGGGCCTCCGAGTGCCTAAGGCAATAATAATTCACTGCTGCCTGGAGCTGCAGCTGTTGCCATACCTGAAACCCAGGCAGAGGCATCTTCCAAGAGCGGGGTGTCCATCCTAGTTCGTGTAGGCACGTCAAGCTGACTCTCTCCTCCATGATAAAATCCTGGATGAGGAAGGCCCTTTTACTGCAAAATGACCTGGTATTTAGAAGCAGCCCCTGGAGCTGAGGATCTGTTGACCTGCATCAGGGCTGAACCCAGGGAGCCAGAATAAGGCCCTCCATGCATCTTTCCCTGAGAACGGTCCCGCCGTATCTCCTTCTGCCCGTCAACCTGAGATCATGGGACTCCCTTCCCTCCGTGAGCCGCTCTCCCTCTTCCTAGCAGCCCTTCCAAGTTCAAGGCATCCTCCTGCCAATCCTGACGGAGCCTCTGGGCTGCTTCTGTTTTAGCATCCAGGCCCCTTGGACCCACCACAGGCCCCCAAGAGGGCTAGACCGGCCCAGCTTTCCAAGCTGGACAATTATAAAGCCTCTGACCTACGGACCCAGCTTGGGCTTTTTCACCACTGGGCCTCTCTGGAGAAGGGCCACAATCCCCAGACACGGCACAGCATTTTGACCAGCGGCCAGCCCTCCTACCTGGCATTCCCTAATTCTGCCCACAGGCCGAGATCCACTGGGGAGGCCTTCCTGAAGGGCAGAAAAGGGAGATTTATGGGAGCTGGGACACTTTTCTTTACCACACAGCAAGGCGTCAGGATCCAAAATGTGTGTGTGGGGGGGGGGATAGGGTACCCTCATGAGGATCATAGAGGCAGATTTCACTATGGTCCCAGTGGATTTGGGGATCTTTATTTATTACTTTATCACGTAAAAGAATTTCAAAGTTCCAAAACTTTTAAAGCCATTTTTCATCACACCAGGAGCTCACGTTAGACAGATCCCTGACTGCCTGGACTATGTATGGCTCATTGTGCCGTTCTTGAGGAGTGTGTGGTTGTGGCCAACAAAACTACCTGATCTCCCTTAATAAAGAAGCTGCCCTCCTTCCCTAACACATCTCACATCTCGTTTAGAGCTGCCAAGGCTCACCTGTAGCTGACAGGATGCAGCGAGAATTTCTTGCACATTGTTGAGGCCAAGTTCCAGGTCTGAAGTATAGATGAAATTCAGGATTTTACACATGGCATTGTAAGAGATGCCCTGGATATGAATTTCTTCCTGTTCCATTTCTCTGAGTCCCCCAGCAAACATTCCCCTGCAAAAGGAAAGATCTTCTTTCAGTTACTTCTCCCAATGAAAAGTATAATGGACAACAATCCCGTAATGCGGTGTTTTTAAACTCATCCTTGCACTGCCCTCTTTCCTATGGAGATGGCAAGGCGAGATGTGCTGACAGGAGGACCCGACTCTTATGGTCCACTCAGGCATGCGTGGGATGATATGCCAGGCTGGGATCCACAACATCGCCTCCTCCGCACACAACCAGCTCGCCACTTCTGGGACTTCTCCCTGAGTCGTCATCTTTGCTAAGCCATAGCTGAGAGCCCGAGTGAGACCAGGATGACCGAGACACAGGACAAGGGCACAGAATACATGGCCTCAGTACATGACAAAGAGAACCTGAGCCAGGAACTCCATTCAAAGCCAGGTTGCATGAACAGGTGCCCAATGCTCCCGGTTTCAGGAAGTAAAACCTTGGCTCTATTCTGTGCAGGTGAGGTTCTCAAGAATCTGGAATCCCACCCCTCGCATTTTAAGGGTGTCAGACTGTGGCGCATAAGGGAAGAACTGCCAGGATTGTGGTGGGGAGAGAAGACCTGGAGACGAAGTCATGGGAGGAAGGGAGCATATTTAGTCCACAGATTAAAAGGTAAGATAAAGGTTTCTCCAATCCAGTCATATCCAACCCTGGGGGGGGTGGTAGTCATCTCCATCTCTTGGCCGAGGGAGCCAGCATTATCTGAAGATATTTCCGTGGTCATGTGACCAGCATGACTACACAGTGAGGCACATGGGATGCTGTTACCTTCCCACCAAAGTGGTACCTATTTATCTACTTGCACTTGCATGCTTTTGAACTGCTTAGATGGGCAGGAACTGGGGCAGGTAATGGGAGCTCACCCCATAGTGTAGCATTCAGGTCTCAAACCCGGGCTGTCAGCTTTCCAACCGACAAGCTCAGCATTTATAATCACTGAGCCCCCACACTCCCAAGCTACAGATTAAAGGGAGGCACAACTACAGCCCGCACAACTGGAGACGGAAGAGAGCAAATGCTGTTTCCTCCAAGGAATTGTGCCACAATTAACTTCAGGAAAGCACACTGCAATTTTAGGTGCCCGTTGTGAGAGCTGTTTATGTAAGAGAATACACTGATTTAGTTACTTGAAGTTCTTTCTAGGTACGGCTGTCTAATTATGGGCTGACGGGCCATGTCAGCATCCTGCACTGAAAAGAGCTTCTTCATTCTCCCTTTGACTGATTCCGTTGCAGAATTTTGTAAAGGAAGACACAGACATAACCTTGCCAAAGCAAAGGACCAAGCAACACCCATGTTTTGCAAATACTTCTTAAATAGGCAGAAACAGGATTACAGGTAAGAAGCGGGAAGACAAACGCTAAATTTGGTTTGACAAATTTGATTAAATCTAATGATCCAATGAGATGCAGCTTTGCTTAATCATCAAGTCAGAGTTTGCCAGTTTCAAACAGCCGTGTTTTACTTTTCCACTGCTCCTAGCTCATATCCAGCAATTTCAGAATTAGTTTCGTCATAGGCACAGACCTGAAGTAATCACAGGATGCGGCTAGGAGGATGCGATGAGCCTCGATGGTCTTCCCCTCTACATGCAGAACAACATCGAAGAGAATGCCGCGGTCCCGGAGAGCCCCCAGGCCACTCAGCAGGGTCTGGGAGTGCCCAGCGCTGTGGTAGGTCTTGCTGGAGCACTTCTTGGCGAAAGTCTCCAGGGGGATCTTGAGTGGCTCCGTCTCCTCCTGCTGACCCGCCATCCTGGGCAGAACCTCCTTTAGAATCAGAGGGCACAGCAACTGGGGTTCCCCGAGGAACAACTGGTTTCAATTAGGCTGATTTCCTCATTCAAAACTTTCATTTGTGCCCATTGCCAGGAACACAAATTGCAGGCTCTTATCTACAAAAAAAGAGATGATGAATGGAATCCAACCCTTTTGGCACAAAAAGGCAGCCCAATGGCACAAAAAGGCACCCCCCCCCCCAAACTGGGCCATCAATGGGCTTAGTGGCTCTAAAAAGGCATGGAAGGCTGGTGGCCCTTCACACAGAAGACGGTTTCTCTACCACTTGTATAGTCTTTGGCTCATCCCATCTTGCCTCAGAGGCAGCCTAAACTTATCTGTAGCTGTTCTGGTGTTATTTGCCCCCTTCCATTGACACAACCCTTGTTGCACAACCTAGGACCCCTCATGGAGGATGGGAGTCAGGGGATGACATTAGGCTGCTTTCATCTTCAGTCAATGGACCCTGTCCCCAGCCCTTTTGGCCTGGTCAAGGGAGAAAGCAGAGACCTGCTCAGCATTCTGTAACAGCCATTTAGGTGTTGCTCACATCTGGAAGAGCACCAAACTATTTTAAATAGTTTTTAGATGGATTATCTGCACACTTTTTAGTCAGGTTTCAGGTCTGGATATGGTTCCCAAATGGCACTGGTAACACTCATGAATGTTCTCTGGCTGGAGCTGGATCCACGTGTTGCATCCATCCTTTTTCTTCTTCTCCTCGATGGCTTTCAATACCATCAACTACGGTAGCCTGGTGGGCCAACCTAGGGAGTTCGTGGTGGGATGCATAGTTCTGCACTGGTTTACCTCTTTCCTCCAAGGTCAATCCCAACCAGTGTTGATAGGGAGCAGGAGGCTGGAGACCCCTGCTTTAACACACAGGTGTCAAACTCGTGACACACTGGCCATGCCCACCCGCATTTTAGTGAAGGAAAAAAATTGCAATACGTTATGTGACATCATGAATTTGACACTGCTGCTTTAACATCTCTCAACATATACCATCTAAATTGCGACCTTACAATTGTTCAACAGCTTCATTTTTACACTTTATTTTCATCATCTTTAAAGCCAATCATATCGTTATCTACCTCTTGACATCAACAGCATTTCTCTACACCTTCTAAAATATTATTCTCAGCTATTTCCCAGCAGGAAATGTTTGGGACAGAACCAGGGAGAAACAGCCACCAAAAGCTTTTTGGGAAGAAAGGAGTAGTTCTGTTTCAGAAGGTCATATATTATATTTGTTTGTTACATTTCTGAACTGCCCACCTCCATTAAAGAGGGACTTTGGACAGTGCACAGAAAAACATTAAAACGTAAAACAGTGTATATAAAAGTTGAAAAAAATTAAGGGGAGGCAAGCAATTAAAATTAGTTGAAAGGTGAAGGGAGGATTAACCAGCCCACGGGGGAGTACTCCCCAGGGCTACCCCTGCAAGGCCGCAGAGCCACATCTTCACTCCTTTTTGGAAAGAGAGAGTTGGGGGCTGCCTCACTGCCAGGGTAAGAATATTCCACAGGTGGGAGCAATGGCAGAGAACGGCCCTCTTCCTAGACTGTGCCAGTGGGAGTTCTTTAACTGACAGGACCTGCGACACACCTTCCCTGCCTGACCAGATGGGATGGGCTGATGTAATGGGACAAAGACAGTTTCATAGTTAGCCTAGGCCTATGCCACATAGGGCTTTGTGGGTCACAACCAACACCTTGAATTTGACCCGGAAGCAAACTGGCACCCAATACAGCTCATGGAGCACCGTTGTTATGTACACTTCTTTGGATCCCTAAAATTGGCTGCGTGGCCATCTTTTGTACCAGCATGGGGTAGCTGCATATAGAGCATATTGCAACAGTCCAAGCGGGAGATGACCAGGACATGAGTGATCGAGCAGTGTCAAATTCATGTCACATAACGTATTGCAATTTTTTTCCTTCACTAAAACGCGGGCGGGCATGGCCAGTGTGTCACGAGTTTGACACCTGTGTGTTAAAGCAGGGGTCTCCAACCTTGGCCACTTTAAGCCTGGAGGACTTCAACTCCCAGAATTCCCCAGCCAGCATTGCTGGCTGGGGAATTCTGGGAGTTGAAGTCCTCCAGGCTTAAAGTGGCCAAGGTTGGAGACCCCTGTGTTAGAGCATGATGAAGTGAATAGATATGGATTCAGAAAGTTTTGCAAGAATGCGGAGTTTAAGATGTTCTGCTGAATGTAAGAGTGGCATTCGATGAAAATAAAGTTTGTGCAAATGCAGATGAAATGCCTGGCAACCTTTAGCACTGAGAGACGATTGTCCCCTCGCTGGGAAGAATATATAGCGTGGATTAAAAGCACATGAAATGCCTGCGGGGAGACAAGAGATGCGCAGCTACTTCGGAGAAAGAGCTGCTCCTGGCTCAGTGGCCAAGCGGACTGGCCTGCCTTTCCAGCCAGCTTTGGGGGCCGTGGGTCTCCCTGGCTCCGTCCCACCTGCAGACTAGGTGCACGGCTGGCCTTTGATCCCCCCCACCAGCCCCATTGGGGGGCTTTCCTTGGGCTGTTCCCGGGCGCCTCCTCTCCCTCGGGAGCACCGGGGAAGCCCTCCCGATCCCCCCACCCCCGCTTCAGCCCAGCAGAGCCAAAGAGCCCCAGGCGGTGTCTGCACCCAGCTGCACAAAGAGGGCCCGCTGGAATTGGGGGGGGGGGGCAGGGACCCCCATGAATGGGGGGGGGGAGTTCTTCCAACGGAGATTTCCCCCCACACACACACGACCCCCTCCTCCGGCTCCCGACCTCTCGGCGGGGCTTCCCGGGCGCCTGGGACCCCTGCTCGGCAGCTCCGCCAGCCCATCGCTCGGCGCTCCCTGAAGGGGGCTTCCCCGCAGGAGGCTCTCCCGGCTCCCTCCAGCCTCCCGGGCGAAGTCCGCCCACCCCACCCCCGCCTTTCTCCCGCCGCAGCCCAACGGCCTCGCCGCCCCTACCTGGCCGGAGAAGGGGATCCCCTGCGGTCCCGCCCAGCGCCGCCACAGCACCTCAACGCACCGCGGAATAGGCCGGGCAGGAAGCGCCCCTTGCGGAACTCCGCTTCCCGGCATGCCGCGCGCCGCCCGACCACTTCCGGTGGCCCTGCGGAGGAGGAGGAGGAGGAGGGAGGAGGAGGCGCTCTGGCTCGGGCGCCCGTGGCGGCGGCGGCGGCGGCAGGAGCAGCGGGATGGAGGATAGCGATTGGCGCAGCGCCAACTTCCGGCAGAAGCTGGTCAGCCAGATGTGAGTGCGGGGCCGGCGGTGGGGGGGGGGCTGGGCCCGGCCTGCGGAGCGGCTCGGGGAGCCCCGAGTGGCCCCACCTCTGGGCCGAGGGAAAGGCGGCTGGCCCGCCACCACACAGCTGCCTGCCGGGCCCCGGTGGGAGGCAACGCAGAGCCCCCCCCCCCCCCCGCCCGCCCTCGGAGGGGGGGGGTCCGACAGGGAGGGCCGCCCCCTCCCCCCGCCCCGCGGCTTCCCTGCAGGGAGAGCCCCGGCCAGGTGGGAAGTGGGGGCCTTGCAGGCAGGCCTGCCCGGATAACCTCCAATGCAGGCGGACGGAAGGCGGCCCGTTGCAAACTCTTGCCCGGAAATCGTGTGGTGGGCCAGGGGGGGTCTCCAACCTGGGCCCTGTAAGCCTGGCGGCCTTCCCCTCCCAGGATCCCCCAGCCAGCCACGTTTTAGGCCGGGTCTCCTGGGGACCCAAAGGCTCCTTCCTGCTTCTGTGCAAACCCCGGGGGGGGTGTCTGTGTCCGTCCCCCCCCGCAGGACTGTTTTACAATGAAGTCAGATTAAACTTCCCCGGGCCGTTTGGTCCCTAGATGTGCCCAAAGCTTTGGGGTTCCTTTTGCAAAACTCCCCTTGCCTTTCATTTTCTGAAGGCGATGGAGGATATTTATAGGCCAAATGCCGCTCTGGTTCAAGAGCCCTGATATTCGTGTCCCTTCACTATTTCAAGCGGCACCAAAGCAGATGCCTCTTGTGTCGCCTTTATCGTTCAGCCCAGCCACAGAAGCATTGCAATAATAGAACTCCGATGCTATAATCAGATTTGTGGGGTGAAAGTGGGAGAGAAGACGCATGTTTCATTTAAATTTGTTTGCAGATGAGATGATTTTGACCCTCAAGTGCTTCTTATTCAGCTGGCTATACTAAGAAAGAGTTAGACCTGTCAGGACTCCGTTTATTTTTTTATAAATAACATCTGGTATTTTTCACATTCCCCTCAAAACACAAAAAAGGCTGGTTTGGGTGGCTTACCACCATAGAACAGGAAAAAAAAAATGATTTTTGTTTTTTAATTTCCCCTGGGAAGCGGATGCAGCACATAAAAGAAAAGCACATTTCTGCTACATCTTTGGTTGCTTCAGTTGCTGGGACCCCATTCAAACCAAGCAGCCCCTGAAATTTGTCATAATCGACACAGAATATTTTCTCCTGTAGCAGCAAACAACAGTGGCAGTAATCAAGGTGATCCCAGCCTTTGATGTTTATGGGTTCCCCCCCCCCCCCCCCCCCCGTTCTGTTGCACCATGTCTGATTCTCTGAGACTGCTTGGGTTCATCCTTGCCGTTTTCTTGGAAAGAGTTTGCCTCCTTTGTAGGGCTGAGAGAAAGTGACTGGCCCAGGCAGAACTAGCACTCGCCACCTCTCCGTTTCTAGCCTGATGCGTCCACTATGACACGAAGTCTGAATGGTTTTGTGCTTAGTTGTACGGGCCTTTCTGATCCTGTGTTAATTTGCCTCTATTTGTGTCTCCCGCCCTTCGAAGCTGGCCCTAGTTGTATATGGAAACCACAACCTGAAACGGTAAATGAAGACACTCACAGTAAAGCCCTCCATCTAACTGGAGGAGTCCAGGATCCTCAGCTTTGATGGGGGGAGGGGGGGGGGTCCTCTGACCCCCCTCTCCAATCCGACCCACTGAGATGCCCTGACCCAGAATTCCTCCTGCCACAGAAGACTTTTATCTCCGTGAAAAAAGGTGGATGCTGGGGCTTCGTAGCCCAAGGGAGCAAGAGTGCAACTGCGATGCCTGGCGCTGTCCCAGCTGCTTGCTGCTGCTTTTGGGCAAGGAAGCCTCCTTCTGCAAGGCAGCAGGCTGGGTCTGGATCCCGGGCTGTGCTACCAGGGAAGCGAATGGGGCTGGTGTAGGAGAAGCCCAGCATCCACTCAGGAAAGAGCCGCCTCGGTTCACATCCAAGCCCTGACCGGCAGCGAAGGGCTTTGGCCACCAATCTTCCCAGGAGTTTCCTGGGGGGGGGGGGGGGGGAAACGAATGAACAAAATCCAAAGCTGTTTTCAGAGTGTTTTCTGGCCTGAAGAGAAGCCAGTGAAGCGCCAGGCCCATTCCTAAATATTGGGGGGTTGTCCCAGGAGCCCCTGCAAAGCTGAGCGGCCTCTTGTTTCTTGCAGCGAAGAGGCCATGAGGAAGGCTGGCGTGGCTCATACTAAGACCAGCAAAGAAATGGAAAACCATGTTTTCATGAAGGCCAAAACGCGGGTAAGAAGTTCCTTTCCTTGCTGGTGGGGGGGGAACAGGTGGGAGGGTGGCCCTTTGCAAGGAGAAGCTGGCTGGTTGGTGGCCCTAAAGACGAGGCGGCCTCCACACAGGAGTTCCCTCTGGGGGCATCCTGCTCTTGGCCTGGGGCCACGGAGGAAGGGGAGGTCTGTGTAGGCTGGGATGGATGTTTCTGGAGAGGAGGCTCTGCTTGGATGTTGGCAATGCAATTTCTTAAGGGGAGGAGGTTCTCCTCCCCACCCCCAGGCCCAAAGGAAGCCTGTCCTAGTGGTGAAGTGTGCCGGACTAGGAGCAGGGAGACTGCAAGCGGCTGGGAAGCCGAAGGGTCAGAGCAGGGACGCTGCGCCCTCCCCCCCTTCCTCCAGCTGAGCCGGCTTCCCCTCCGTCACTGCACCCTGAAGTAAATGGGGGATCTGCCCCTCCCAGCTCTTGGGCCAGAGATGTCCCGGACCGCATGGCACACAAGGCAGCGCAGGGAGGGTTTGTGAAGGTGTCTGAGCCCCGTGGATCGAGGAGATAGGAGAGCAACAGCCGGGTTCCACTGGATCCAGGGAGAGATCCCCGGAACCCACCCAGCCCTTTGGCTCCGGTGGTGGCTGCTTCTGCCTGGGCCACCCTCCCACTCCTGGGGCCTTTCTCCCCTGCCCCACAAAGGCCTGCAGGCCCAGCCGGATGGGACAAGAAGTCCCATCAGCCCTCGCCTGCCTCCCCTGCTGCCTTGCACAGTGCATTTCCCTTGTCTAATTCTAGGACGAATATCTCTCTCTCGTGGCAAGGCTCATCATCCATTTCCGGGATATTCGTAAGTAGCCCTTGGTGTTTCTGTGGATCGGCTTAAGGACGTTTTTCCTGGCTGCCTTGGCCCTGCGTGGGAAGGAGCCAGAGTGGGGAGCTCACATCAAGTCTTAACCCCCACCCAGCATTTCTGCAGTTGGAATTTGGAGCCAGGTTCCCAACAGCTGAGAAAGCAGTAGTTGGGCCTGATCTCGGTTCCCGGAAACCCAAAGGAGAATTGTGTTATGCTGAGCTGGAGGGAGGGAGGGAGGGAGGGAAGGAAGGAAGGAGGGAGGGAAGGAAGGAAGGAGGGAGGGAGGGAAGGAAGGAAGGAAGGAGGGAGGAAGGGAGGGAAGGAAGGAAGGAAGGAGGGACGTAGGGAAGGAGGGACGTAGGGAGGGAGGGAGGGAAGGAAGGAAGGAAAGGAAGGAAAGGAAGGAAGATGGAAGGGAAGAAGGAAGATAGGAAGGAAGGAAGGAAGGAAGGAAGGAGGGAGGGAAGGAAGGAAGGAAGGAAAGGAAGATGGAAGGGAAGAAGGAAGATAGGAAGGAAGGAAGATAGGAAGGAAGGAAGGAAGGAGGGATGTAGGGAAGGAGGGATGTAGGGAAGGAAGGAAGGAAGGAGGGATGTAGGGAAGGAGGGAGGGAAGGAAGGAAGGAAGGAAGGAAGGAGGGACGTAGGGAAGGAGGGAGGGAAGGAAGGAAGGAAGGAAGATGGAAGGGAAGAAGGAAGATAGGAAGGAAGGAAGGAAGATAGGAAGAAAGGAAGGAAGGAGGGAGGGAAGGAAGGAAGGAAGGAAGGAAGGAGAAAGGGAAGGAAGGAAGGAGGGAGGGACGGAGGGAAGGAAGGAGGGAGGGAAGGAAGGGAGGGAGCTCAAAATGAGGGACGAGAAAGCCAGGCCCACTGTGCCAAGTCCCCTCTTTGAAGGACTACAGCAACTGTGAGGGGGTGGGATATTCTCTTCTTTACCTTTGAGGTTCCTGTGGAATAATAGCGGTAATATAATTATTCAGCTCGTTTCGGTTGGTCTAATTTTCTTTTTTCCAGGAAATGAGGGATATTGCCATTAACTCTGAGCCCCCAAACATCGTCGCAAAGGGCACTTTGGGGCCTAGAAGCCCGTTGGAGGAAGAGCCCAAGACTTTAGGGGCTCCAGCCTCCCCCCCCCCCCCTCCCCCATTTCCAGCTGTAGATGTAAAAGGACTCCCGCCTTAAAGGAAAAAGACCCATGTTCCCCAGCAGAAGCCCTTGTTGGCCCAGTCGGGTCGCTCCCTCAATCTGTGTGTATAACTCTTACCGTTTTTCTTTCCTAGACAACAAGAAGTCTCTGGCCTCCGTCAGCGGTAAGGAGCCGCTCTTCTTCGTCCCCTTCCTTTGCAGGGACGCTTCCTCCCGGGGCCTTTTCTCGCTGAGGAGGCAGGTCCCCTGGGCTGCCCAAGGCTGCTGGGTGCCCAGAGGAAATGGCCTCGGGAAAAGGCATTCCGACAGCCCTTCAGGCTCTGCCGGGGTCCCCAGAATCAGACCTCTGCTTCACGGAAGACGGGGGGGGGGGGGGGTCTGAGACGGGGGGCAGGGGCTGACTCTTCCGCTGAGTTGGCGGAGCAGATGCACCTGCCTGTTTTTCTCCCCAGACCCAATGAATGCGCTGCAGAACCTGACGGGGGGTCCTCCCGCAGGACCAGGGTCCATGGGGATGGCTTCCCGTCCTCAGGGGGCCTCCCTGGCCGGT